TTTGATAAAAGGACGATACAAGATTGTATTTATTTCTTGTATCAAAATTTTGACGATCTCGATGAAAAAAACTAGAAGAATGACAAATCTGCAAAGCAAGGATAATTTTTGAATCAGTCTTGCTTCCTGGTATTAAAGATAAACTAGTCATAAAACCATGAAGGGACATCAAATCGGAAGAAACATTGGTACAACCTAAGAAAACATTTGTTTGCAGCTTTTCGCCTTTATGTTTCTTTGCAGTTCCATTTGCAAATAGCTTAATAATAATGATGATAATAAGAGAACTATTTATAAAGGGTAAACTTTGTCAGTGCTAAAGTACTGTTATCAGTAAGAACCCTTATTTAACATCTTTGTTCCCTATCTCTGCTGAAAATAGCCAAGATAAAATATGGGAGAGAGATGTTTTGCAATCACACAGCCAAATTAGCACCCTGTGTAGAAAAAACAAGAGGCAATGAAGTGTCACAAAAATGAACTGGGAGGGGCTCAACCCGGCTCTTTGTTTTTATGCTTTTTCTGAAAGATATGTAATTACATACGCTCAAGAAGAATTTTTCTCATTATATGTACAACATACTCTGAATTTCTTGGTATGCATATTGTTTTTCAGTCAATTGATTTATATTAATCTGAATCTCAAATATTTGAACGTAGAACTCTGATATCACCAGAATGTTTGCTGGTTAAATGACAACAAAGGAGTTCTAAAACTCCTCTGAGACAGTTCAAATACTCATGCTATCAGATTTTAATTAGAGGAAAACAAAGCAACTAAATTCTCGTGGTTCAAGAAAAAAGATATTTAAAATAAGCTGATTTTACTTTCTGTTTGAAACTTGAGCCAATTTTAAAAAAAAATTATTGTTAATATACGGGCAAAACAGCTTTGACTTCATTTGGCTGTTTGCCAATCTTGTTTTATCATAATCAATCTCTTCTATAGGAACTAACATAATGAACTATTTCATTAGGATCTTGGCAAAAAAATTCTTCAGTTGGTGTGAAATAAGATTAAATATAAGTCACTGTAAAATATTTTAGCCAGCCTCGACTTGGAAACTTTAGCTTAAGCATGCGAGGCTATAAGTTCTGCTTCTAGATTTTCTCAAGGTAGTTTTTAAATTGATGGATTAGCGAGAATCAAATGAATGTCGAAGCTCGTTAGAAACAACAGGTCCACTTCAGTCCCAACCGCTGTACCAAGCAAAAATGTATTTTCCCAACAAAGGCAGGATTGTCTAACCACTTGTTATTTTTCAATGAAAGGGTTACTTCGAGGTTTCCTTCTTCATTTGTCAACTTGAATGAAATTAATTTCGCGCTCTTATTTCAAAATCGCATTAACACCTTTCTAGTAAGAGTCTTGTTTGCCATCCACAAGAATTCGTTTGGGTGAACACTTCATGTGTTGCCCACAGGAATCTGTCTTTGCTTGACTTGTGATTCATTACCTACGCATTGAAGTTTGTTGGGTAACCAAGAAGTGCTGGAGCAAGGTAAAAATATTTTCTCACGAAAGATGCCAATTTAAGGAGGAAATTTTGACGTCAAGGACGCCAAATTACTTTAATGTCGATTGAAAATTCATTGAGACAAATGATTATAACGCAAGAAGCGATTTTGTATCGCTGTAATTGTTTTTTATATTTCATACTGGTTGTAGAACAGTACTGGCTGTTAATGTTGCAACTTCATGAAAACATCTTATGAGAGGAGTGGAATGCTCTTTCATTTTGAATGGGACCTGTCGATAAAAGTTCTAAACATAATTTCTGAAATATCAAAACTATAGTTTCAGTTTTCTGCTAGTATCTTCTTTGGCCAAGCAAACCTTTCTTCGATCAACTACTAAACTAGATTCACGATTTGTGCCTAATTCACAGCGTGTATTCCCAAAACATAGAAAAGAATAAAACATTTTTATCCTCTTTAACCTATAAGAAGATAATAAAGCAAATGTGGTGCCATTTCAGAAGTACAATTGTGTTGTACAGTCTGGAGGGTGGAGGTGGCTATGAAGCAGGAGAAAGGTGAATGGGTGAAATGAGTGCAAATTCCAAACTGTGTATCTAAGATTCAATTTCTCCTTTGTAGACCCTAAAAAACCCTGGGTACCAGAGCCTCATTTCAGAGGAAATGGTCGAGCAGTGGTCCTTACTAACCATTCTTTCACCTTCCGAGGCTCTGGCACCTAGGATATCCCTGAAAATACTTCAGGCAGTGGCGTAGCTTGACTTCCCGGACTTTTGCCGACCAACTCATCAAGAATTGCGAGGTATCACACTCCATAAATCCCTCGCTAGATACGCCCCTGATTTCAGGAAACAAGTGGACATGTATTCTTTGCATGAGCAACAGCATTTTTTCCCTGAAAAAAAAACAGATGATCCTCTTATATCGTTTTGCCGTGTCGTGTCGTATTGAAATGTACCATTTTTCAATATGCTCAGGTACTGCGGAGCAGGGGGCTGTGGGGGCTTTAGCCCCCACAACTTTTGCGAAAAATGCAAAATATTAATCCACCAGTAAAGCCTCTTTTTATTCGGCTTTAGCCCCCTGCATTTTTTTGGCCCCCCAACTTTTCTCAAAGCTTTGCGGTGCCTTATGCTGTAGTCTATATATTCTGTTTTTTCTTTTGCATAGATTCATGCAAAATAAAATTAACTTATACTTCTTTATGTTGCTTTGTGGGATTTTTTGTTGCATTATATTACGCGAATCTGAATAACACCTAAATTTGCCCTGCAAAACCTAACTATTGTGTTTCGACAGCCGTCCCCCACCCCCAACACCTTGTATTGGATAACCATGTCCCTACCCTAAAACTACAATGAAAAAACCATTAAAGAAAGTAATTTTCTGCCAGACACTTATGAATGTCTTTGTTCGTCAATTTTTGTGCTTAACACCGTCATATTCTCAACAGCCCTTCGCATAAGCTCAAATAATTATGTAATTGAAATGTAACTGAATTTGAAAATCTCTTCAAGCAAACAAAAGGCCTTTGCCAAGAATTTCCGAAATGACGTTTGTGCTTCGGAAGTCTTATATTGATTTTCACCACGACTCTTCTTATTCGGTTAACGGTCGTCCTTATAATTAAATTCTCTGAAGATTTTTTCTCGTAGCAAAGTACCACAAAGTTTTGTGTTTAAGAGTCTAGACAGATACTGACCCCATAGCTAAGGACAGCAAGGAGAACTGTTTATTGTTGGGGAGACGAGCAAGAGAAAATTTTTAATAAGTGAGGCAACCCTCCGTCATGGAGTCAAAGAGCATGCGCACGGAAATAAATTATTACTACGCATGCTCTCTGACTCCAGGACGGAGGGCTGCCTCGCTCATTTGAAGATTTTCACTCGCTCGTCTCCCCAACAATTTAGCAAAGAAGTTGCAATGCTATACTGAAACTCGGCCTTCTTTGAGTTTTACAATTTTGGTCCAAATAGGTTCCAAAATATTCTCTTTTACTTTAGAATGAACTTTGATTGCTTGCCTCGCAATAAACGGTTTTGCAAAAGCTATGGTCCTAGAATTTCATAAATGGTTTATCACAATTAATGAGAATTCTTACAAATTCATAGTTTAACACTCTGTATCATTCTGAAATGAACTGGTCTGCGTTAAGGCTATAAACAGGACAGTATCCGATAGGCTAATCATTTGACTGTGTAGCTTGCACATATTCTTGGATTAAATTCTACTCCGAAACCCTTAGGGCGATCACTTGTATGGTGTTTTAGATGTACTGTTTTTAGCATTGAAAAACTGTTGCGATGTAATATAAGAATCTTTTGGAACTTGGCCATGAATGGCAGACTGATTATCTAAATGGGGGATTCTGAAATACTTCTAGAAGACAAAGTGTCTTGTCAACAAAGTCAGATCATTTGCACACATTAACAACAAAAATTTTCGTCAGATTAATTTTCGGCGGATGAATTTCGTCGAAAAATATTTCGGACAACTTTTCAGAATTTTGTCGTGACAAAATTTGTCGTGGATTTTTAACACAAAAATAGCAATATATAACCAAAATCGTCAGAAGTAGAACCATACAGATTGCTTTATACTCAATCTCATAGGTACCGACTTCGTGGAGACTTAGGGGCTAGAGCACCTGTTCAGAATTTGGCTCAACCCCCCGGGCAGCATGTCAGAAAAACCAAATTAAAGCGGTTATTTACTTAGTTGATGCAAAAGGGCAAAAGGGGGGTCAACAGAGATGCTTTAAGCATTCAGAGAGTCTCTACTCTATATCTAAATGGTATGACAGTTTATGTAAAAGTAAGAATATAAGTGTAAGATTCGGAAAGCATCTCCAACAGGAAATGTTGGCCTGGAAAGTTTGCTTCCGTTGGGTTCAAAATTTGGGTTGAAAAATGCAAATACCTTGAACGAATGAAAAAAATAGTACAGTTGAGTAAAAGAAGACAGAGGTGAAATCTTTTGAAACTGGTGACAAAAGACAATTAGAACGGGTAGCAGGGTGGTAAGATGGATCAAGGGAAAGATGGAGTCCACACCCTTGAAAACGCCAGAAAACGCCCTTTATCAAATATATTTTTACCATGATAGGCACCCCCCTCTTGTCTCCCTCTCACTACGCAACCTAGAACTATTTTTATTGAACAATGATGATAAGGACGTTCGTTCAAGAACCGATAATGATGATGATGATCATGATGCCGACGGTAAAGATAATTATGGAGACGTTGTAAATAAGGAAAAGAACGTAGTTGACATTGAAAAGATAAAAAGGATGCATTAATTTTGTTTCTAACTTCATGTAAGAGTTTTTCTATACGAAATCTCAAAAATCTTAAATTCGAAAAATTTTGTCGTGACCAAATTTTGTCGTGACCAAATTTCGTCTTACTTTGAATTTCGTCGAAGACAATTTCGTCAAAATATTGATCCGAAATTTTATCACGACAAAATTTTTTGTAGTTAATGGACTCATTGCAATCAAGATATTTTGAACTACATTTCAGATTAGACGTCCCCTAAAGAATTGGGTGCAAGTATCTGGACCGGAACAGAATCTAAAGAAGGACGAATCTAAGGTGGGATTTTCAGTCATTATCCAGTCGAAAACTAGTGCTAATGACATAACTAAATCTTTTAAGGTGGCAAAACCGTGAGACAACCCCTGCCAAATGTCCTTGCCCACTACACTAATACTTTTTCCATTGTCTATTGTGATTCTTCTTTTTCCTGAGTGTTAATGTAATGTGAAATGGTTTGATCCTGTCCAGTTGATTCCTGTCAGACAAGACAACTATAGGTGAGGAGTGTGTATTGAAGCCAATACCCAATTTGGGAAGGCGAAGGTCGGTGTCTTTTTTAACTGAGCAATACGGAAGCAAAACGTGTCCTTTTCCAAGAATTTTGACAGGGTATTTAGGTTGCAGTAAGGGGGAGGTAAGAGGGATGTGCCACTATCACGTGTTGTAAATGCTAGGAGAAGAAAAGGAATATAAAATATCAAGTTGTAAATATAAGAATGTTGATGGTGCTATGTTGGATAGAACACCTCCAGTACCCAAGAGATGTGTTAGGAATTTGCACCCAATAGATGTGTTCAGGACCCAGGCTCCTTCAAGCAACAAGTGCTCATTTGCTCGTTGAAAATGTTTTCTGGTTCGAGTTTCTTTCTGATAGATCTCGAGATCTCACTATCACTACGTGAGCTCATCACTATTATAAATCCCCCTTGTAAATTCCATGGATAATTTTATTAAAGATATCTTTTAGCACCTGTTGTCCTTGTTTGAAAAATGATATGGATTAGGTAGGTTTGCCATGGTACTCAAAGGGTGTGGTGTAATGCTATTCACAAATAGGTTCCCTACAAATATTTATACTGCAAATGAAAAGGATAGAACATAAATCTAGTTTACGCATATTTTGAAGTCTTGTTTAAAGTTTAAAAAGAATGTCTCTAGAAAGCCAGTCTTCAATCATAAAGGTTCTGAGAGAGATTAACCAAATTAAGTGAAGAGCCCTCTAAATCAGGGTGGGTCCTGTATGCAGGTTACGCTTAAAAATGCACACGTTAAGCGGGATACGATTCCTAAGCCACAATAATGTTGAGGTCAATTTTCTAGTTTCTTCCCATGCTGCCTTAAAAACTCAAGTGCTGCCATAAGCTTCTATTCGATGCCAGGTTGAGACGAGGAAACGTTGGTCAGTGCTTTTAACAACAGATAAGAACAACCAAATTTGTATCAAAATTCCCTATGCTCAAATCCTTGTACCAGCAACTTACACAGACACCTCTATAGTGGGCAATTTTTCTGGTCAGTCAGGTGTCCGCTATGCAAATATTTTGGCAACGTACTTTTATGATGTAATCCTATGATTTTCAAACTGCCTTTACATAGTCAAAAGTGAGTCATGGGCGCTCAATTCAGGTAAAAATGGCGCTCCTTGATAGTAAAAGGGCGTCTTTTGCTGCTCAAAAGGGCGTGGCCTAAAATATTTTTTTTTTCCCCCCCCCCCCCCCAGAGCGTAGTGGCTGGCGCTGCCTTTTAGCTCCTCTACCAACTGAGCCATCCTCGCACCTGAATGTTTACAGAAAATGTTTATGGTTGAACAATGCATAATAAACTGCTCTTTCAATGCAAGTGAATAATGAATAGGATTGGTACGAGTAGTTTCTATCACGTGCCAAACCGCTGTCGAAGAGCTGCTATGATCGTGGTTTTAGGACCCTTATTTCTTGCACAAAGAACAAGTCTATAGAAAATCATTAAAATGCCATAATACACTATCGTCTTCAACTCAAGTGCAAGCTGTTATAAGCATGATTTTTCCTAGAATCTGCTCCTAGAAGCAGTTTATTTCAGTAGCTTTATCTTTTTCCAGACTTAATTCTACACATGGACCTAAAATGTTTTTTCCCGGACCAAGCCCACAATCTTAATGTAAAATTTCCACTTTCATAATTGATGTGATAAGTCTTCCGAAAATTCTGGTCGGTCTTAAATGGAGATTCTCTTAGCTATAGTAGCAACGAACTCACAAAGTGGTTTTCAGGATGAAATCTAGCAATTGATCATTCGGTTACAAAATAATGGTATAGTTTATAACAGGGGCTCAGCAACAGAACCCTTAACAGGCAATTCATTTTATTTTCATATTTGTTGTGTTGTTTTTTGGGCACAGAAAACATTTTACTTTCTAGTTTTTGAGAATTTTTGAAAAGATGGCTTCTACTCTTGTATCAGCCATACTCAACGACAGCTCCTAAAAGCTATATTCCAAGGCAGCAAATCAGCGGAGATTAGAAGTCATGCTGATGATACCCAATTAGTCAGGCACGAAAAAAGTATTTATTGTTACTTTCCCTAACTCTGTTTACTACTCATGTCTTGTATTCCTTACTTTGACAAAAAGAAATTTTCGTGTTTTAAGCCTTATATCCCGAAATTTTGATCCGCAAAACTTCCTGAAATATGAAATTCGCGATTGGTCATTTTGGCAAAATATCTAGAGAGCTTTGCTATTGGCCTTCTTGGAAACATTGATGACTAGTCATGCCTTATGACGAATTTTAACAATTTTGTTGTTGTTATTTCAATGAGAAAAGTGGAATAAAATTAGTAGTAGGCCTCAATTGAACAAAAACATTTTTTGCGTTGAATTAGTGACTTTCCTTAGAACGCAAAAGTTTCTTTTCGCGAAAGATCTAATTTTGCTTCTTTTGCGAAAGTTAATTCCAAAAATTTCGCGCTTTTCTCAATTCGCGAATTTTTCCTTCCACAAAATTTCTTCCTTTAAAGTTATTGCTTCTGACTTTGAGTATCAAAAATCAAGAATTCTTCAAGAATGTTTGATTTTTGATATAAAAATAGCAAGTTCAATTCTTAAAGGGGCTTTTGAGGAACTTTAACCAAAGTTCAATTCAGCATCCAAAAATACTTCTTAATAAGAATTTGAAAGCAATTCTTTATCAATATGAGTTCCTGCTCATTGAATTGATATAGTTGTGGTTTTTGTTTTTAATTAAGCTTCTAAGCAACAGATGCTATTTTCAGCCAGCTTAGGCCATATGTAAACATGGTCCTTTTTATGGCAACATGCCTTTCATCAGAATATCCCATTGCATGTCCTTTTCTCGATATACACTTTCGCATGTAAAACTTCTTTGGAAGGACCAGGGGCAATGAATCACTATGATTTCAATTAGAATAAATCGTTGATAAAAAGACAAATTAGAAGTTATTTCAAAGATCGGATACATCATCAACGTAAAGTTTCATTGTCCACAAAGTTTCATTATGTTATTAAAAATAAATCTGTCTTTACGGTTTTTCATTCTAGTGGGAGTTAACTTAATGTCCTTACTGCTAAATATGCTATTAAGCTTTAAACAGGTGAAAACAGAATAAAATATAGCGAAATTGACTGATTTCTCAAACACCTGGTTCAAAGCTTTGCAAACCTGTCTATTGTCACTGCGATAAGTCCTCTCTTCCTAATGTGGGCACAATATTTATCACTGATACCAACAACACTTTGTTCTATTCTCTATTAATTCGACTTTGAAGCTCGTTACATAATCCACAACCTTAACTGATAATTAACTGCCCAAACCATATTGCAATAACAATGACATAACTTATTGCTGTCTTAAGCTACTGTTACTTAGATTGAGAAGGATAAATAAAGACAAATTTTATGACCAAAACCCGTCACAAATTTCCTATTAAATTTTCGTTTCATCCAATCATTAAGCAATGTTGAATATGCAGTCATAGCCTTATACCACCATGCCAAGAGATTGAAACTACCCAACTACCCCCTGTTACATTAAATCAGGATTCGGTCAATTATTATTGCTAAATATTCCGTATATACATATGTACATACAGGAATGACTCTGCTCCACTCGTTTAAAACCTACACGTGACCAGAACCATCTTTTTGGAATGCTTTCTGCATTTTAAATAGAAAGTCCTAATCCTCCTAAGTCCATTCAAACACGTATTCCTAAAAATAGAACGCTTTGGTGCCAAATGTGAACTAACCGCGTTTTGAAAGGCAATTGTACAGAGCTAAACTGCGGTTTTGCTGCTAGGTAGGTCCAGACAACCCAACCTTGTGTGAAATCTGCAGAAGGCAAATTTGGCTATTTCATCTGAAATGTGGTAGCTGCACAATTGCCTTAAGCTTAAAGCGCTCCTGTAGTTTTGGAATCAAGTGTTGATAGTCTGGGAACCGAGCGCTCTTCTGATACATTTCGCTATAAAACGGCCTCTGATGTGTTATTCTTAAGAAATCATCTTCAAGTCAGCCTTCCCACCTCTTTGCTAAATGAAATACTAAGTCAACTCAAATATCTTATAAAGATGAACCTGTTTTCACAACAAATCCATTGAATCAAAGTGCACAAGTAAAACAGTGTCAGTGACATGTTTGCTTCGACTGGGGCAAGAGGGAAAGGATTAAACTTTCTTTACTTTGTGGGTTCCTCCAGTTTGCGCAGGCCCTGGTTCTACTATAATCTAGAGCACTACTTCTTTGCGACTTTATCTTCCAAAGTAGCGAAATCTTCTCATTGAGTCTGAATCAGGACCATGTTGATCTACCAATGTTTCCACAAAACAACAGAGCATTTTTGTAATATCTTTTGTTAAGTGTCCTTAATTTAATCTTGGACCCACAGTTTCCAATCTGCGTCGAAGCATGTGCTGTGGGAGCTGAATAGAGTACAAGCGGGAAGAGCTTAGGCAGAGACACCAAAAGAACAAGTACTACTATTTCTTTCAATGGATCTGTAAGGACTAAAGCGGGGCCTTTTGTAGCATACTACCTAGGGGGTATTTGCCTCTCCAGCCCCAGTGACGTTTTATTGCAAAAGGCTTTTTTCCTCCTTTTATAAAGAAAGGCTTGCCCCCGCAGCTATTTTTCCTTTGGAAAAGCTGTGTACTAAAGCATTTTTTGACCTGGGCACCTCCTTTTCCTTGCAGAAGGTCCCACTTTAGCTAGGTACCCCTTATTTTAGCTATTGCCCCTCTAGAGTTCAATAAGTGTTATTCTTTTAAAACTAATTATATCA